ATCGGGCGCACTTCCGGTTTCTTTAACTGCTAAAGGAAGCGCGGTTTTTCCTTAAATCCAGCCTTTTTGGACGGATTTCGATTGAAGCCAACGTTGGAAACATAGCTATGCATTCCGTTTTCAAAATCATGCTTTTTTCAGAAAATTACGAACTTTTTAATATTTTGAAATTCTCTCAAAATCTGACCTTTTAAAAATGAAACAAAATCTATGCANTAGCGTAATGAGGATTTAAATTAAAATATTAAATCAATGAAAAAAATTCCGATAAAGTAATTTGCCTGGGAGCCTTCGCGTTTTTTGCAGTATTAGTCACATGATCATGGGCGTGGACTGATGACGTCATCACTAGTAATGCTGATCATGGAAAAGTTCAAACACATGAAAAACAACTCTGAAGTAACTAAAAATGACGAGATTATTTGAGAATAAATTTTCCCTAGCAACGGCTCGAAAAGATCGGTTAATGGGCCCTTAAAGTCATCATCCATCATGGAACTTCAAGAAATATTGAAGCATACCGCCAAAAGAATGGCAGGGGAAGAAGAAACACACCTGACCTGAATTAACTGTAGTAATACTCTATTCCAATTTCATGTTGAAGTATTGTTGTGACAATTAGGGATTTGCACACAACAATATGCCATAGGGAGGGTTTACTTTCGCATTTTGAGGTAGATTTAAGGGATTTGGAAAAACCTTGCAAGCCTCATAAATTTTGTAATGTAAGTGTAAATGTGATACATGTTCTCTTGTCTATTTTCCTTTGATCAAGTCTTCATCTGTCCTACAAGGAGGCGGGATTACTTGTAATCGACAAATCTGAAACCTCTGTAAGTTTGATTCATTGTTATCCAGTGAACCATCTCCCCTTGTGAGCACACCCAAAACAACAGACAAATAAGCTTTTCATGCATGTATTGCCGCTTCACTGTGCGTGTTTATAGTTTTCGCTGAAACAGTTGGCATTATTTACAGATGCGGACCACTGAGGAAACGCGTGTGCCTCAATATTCAATTTTGCCAGAAAAAAGGTTATTTGGGGGCGATTTTTACTTGTAAATAAAGTTGATTTTGAATGTTGATTATTTGTAACAGCAATTTTCGATAATTTCAAAAAAGTAGGGTTAGAACTAAATCATGCATAAGCTAGCTAGGATACGAGTTTTATTCCTTGTGTTTACCCAAACATGACACGCAATTTTGTTCAATTTGTTGCCGAATCACTAAAATCAACAACAACAAACTTTATTCGCTCTTGTACTTACAATTTTTTATAAGTAAATCGGGATAGGAACTGGCAGCCCTATACTCTGGTATCTTTTTTGCTACGAAAAAAGACTTCATACCTCAACTTTACACACAGGAGCTTCTTTGCTTTGGAAATTCTGCAGAACTAGCGACATTCAGTCATGCTACTGAGAGTAGAGTAGAGGAACCAGCATGGTATATCGGAAAGGGAAAGTTCTAGTTAGCTACAGAGGCAGGCTGAAGAAGCAACATTGGCTTAGTTCCTGGTTTCAATGGATAGTTCTCTCGCATTGCGCCATTCGGGCTCAGGATCGACAACTAAGTCAAATATTTGTTTGCTCAGTGGTTTGATGGTAATTTACATAAAAAGCGGTTGTGACGCCACGAACAAGCGCTACGGACCAGTGCTCCAGCCGGGATAAACAACCGCACTCTCAAAACGGCTGGAAATCGAGCCTAGGTAATCTGGTGTTATCCCTAAAGTAGCAAGCGTCAGTTCGGTTGTAAGCTAAGCTTGAACTGACCCAGATGGAAAGAAAAGCCAGGCACCTGTCTTTCAGTAGAACATGTTAGAAGCATACGAATCCTGAACCGTATATCGATCGATATCAGACGTAGCGTCACTCGACAGCGACTAAAGCGGTTTACATCAGTAGATTTGAGTTGTAGCGTTACGCGAGCCAACTGCGAGCCCAAGCCTACCTCGAGTCACGAGTCAACCTCGAGTCAATCAAGAGTTAAGCCATTTTTTTTTTTTATTTCTTTTTTTATTTTGTCCCCACAAAAATATAGATTGTAGGAAATAAAATATATGAATATGGATTGTCTTAGCAGTTGACTGACAGGGTATTTTATTAAAAGACTCACCTCGATCGCAGCACGACATATCGACAAGAGGTAACCCTCTCGCACAGGCTGGCACGAATGTTATCGTTCAACTTTTCTCTTAGTCAGTAGATAGTCAAGGAAATTCATGTCACTTACTATTTGGATAAGAGAGCACGAATACACACGATCCCAGGGTCCTCTATTTGCAATTTGGCGACGCGATCGAGATGAGCCTGTTGTTAAAATTGTTGTTAACTGCTAAGACAATCTATATTCATATATTTTATTTCCTACACTCTATATTTTTTTCGGGACAGAATAAAAAATTAAAAAAACTGGCTTGACTCGTAGTTGACTCGAGCTTGACTCGTGACTCGAGGTTGACTTGGGCTCACGGTTGGCTCGTGTAACGCAACAACTCATCAGTAGGATTAAATCAAATTAAAGATACAAGTTACGTGATTACATTCACAGTAGCACAAGGGTGATTTTTTTTCACAACATTTGAGAAAAGCATTCAACAAAGAGACAACATAACTATTCGTACGAGAGCGACTTATGATTCCTTTCTCTTTTGTCAATATGCAAAAAGATTACATGGTTTTGTTGTCATGAAAGTAGATAACTACTTGCAATCTGCCAAAGAAACATGAAAACGTAATAGTCAGTTCCCACACAAATATGTTTTAAGTTCTCGTTCTTTGCAAGAATTATCGGAGACTGGAGTTTCCTCCTAACAGAGATAGCTACCATATGCAGTACGTCGCCAATTGCGTTTAAAGACAATCGTCATAAATTATTTAATTACATGTGCAAAGTTTTTATTCGGAGTTTATCTGGTTTAACAGCTGGTTTGATCGGATTCAGTAAGGTTTCAAGTTTAAATTGCCGGAATATAGACCATTAAACCTACTTTTTATGACGCTATTTCAGGAAATTATGGGCTGCATTGTCATTAGGGCTTGCAGTCTTTGTTTAGACATTAAACTGTACTAAAGAATACAGCATTATCTTTCGTAACTATGACAAAACGTTCATCATTAAGTCTTACCTTAGGTCCCGAGCAACTTATTGGGTCTACACCACAGGAATCGACCTACCTTCTGCCTTCAAAAAGCGCTTTATTACGGGAAATGTTCCCGGAAAATGAAATTGGGAAAAGTCCCTTTGGGGGCGTTGTATTTTTCTAGCTGTCACTGTCAAAAAATTGATTCAAGACCCATTGTTTTGGTGTTTTTTTTTTTCTTTTTTCTTTTGTTATGTTTTGTTTTGTTTTGTTTTGTTTTGTTTTGTTTTTTTTCACAGTTAGATTTCGCGGTCGCAGATAAATGCATTTAATGTCTCGAATGAGTCTATAAAAATCGCAAAGCGGTTCCACCGCGAGCCTACAAAATCTGATTCCATGGTAAAAGCGCATTTTGCGTCAGGTAAACAATTCATGTTTTTTTAGTACCGACCTCCAGTGTACATCAGTTCCTCGACGTAGGGGGTTTCGAGCTAATTTACATGTAAATACAAAAAACCTGCAATTTATCAGTGCCTAACAATAGCATCATTTTATAGAAAAAATGCCTGTTAATAAGCCATGCAGCCTGTCAAACTACGTATTTATGATCGAATTTGTCCGTTACTCAAGTTTACGCACGTAATTGTCTTCTGCTGTTTGCTTCCCGTACAACCACAGTGGTCGAAGCTAGCCCTCCCTCTTTTAATAGCTTCAATGCTGCAGTACAATCAAACTACTTTTTATGAAGATCTTTTAAGCTCCGAACAAAGGGCAATTTGCGCAGATAAAAACACGAACGTGTAAAGGCCTATCCAAACGGTAAATGTTTGGCGACCAAACATCATCAAACATTGCTTGGTGAACAAACATGCTGATGTTGAGGTGAGTGACCAAACGGTTAAAACATGTTTGATCAAACACAGATCAAACTATGGATATATATAAGCCGCTGAGCAAGCGTGGGACGCATGCGTACGCCAAACATGTTTGATACGCCTGTCCAAACGAACAAACCATCGCCCATCAAACACGAGAACAAACGAAATGTGTTTGATCGAATGTTTGATGGCCTTCAAAATTTTTCAAACACGACCAAACACGATCAAACACGATCAAACAGCACCAAACAAGGTGGCCAAACGGTAAAATGTTTGGTCACCAAACAATGTTTGATGGTGTTTGGTCGCCAAACATTTTCCGTTTGGACAGGCCTTAGGAAAAATTTTGATTTTGCGCATGCTGTTTCTCGCCATGTATCAACGCAAGTTTAGATTAAAGTATTAAAACAATGTATAGAAATTTAGTCAAGCTCACCTTAATTGAAATTTGCTCTTTTGCGTAGCTTGTCAACCTCTAACGATGTTTTTAGTCTCAAGCAGTAAATTGTTTAAATAGCTGTGGTAACAATTATTAGAAACCAAGAGAATATCACGTAATTTATTCAAGGTCGTAAAGTTTATTTGAACCCGAACAAAGAACTCATCATAGCGAAAAGGAAATCAGAAATAATTGTCACTGTGAGGTCGTATTCTTTAAGTTCACAGTAAAAGAAAGTGCTTTTCTTTTCAGTAGATTCGTAGCCTCATTCTAACCACGACACCAGTTAGTACAAATAAATTTTATTTGCCACCAAATAAAAGCGTTTGTGGCTTCTGCTCACGTTCCTGGCGTTACTTTAAACATATTAAGGGCCGATTATTTAAACGAAGTCTAAGTTAGCCATTGTTTAGGGCTGAGCTGTGGTTTAGACGTCGTCTCGATAAACAACGGCTAAACGATCTTTTTAAAAATTCATTATTGAAATGCAACTGGCCCGTGTTTTCTCGAGTCAATAGGGAGCTTAAGCAGCGACGATGATGACGCCGAGGACGGCGCTTAGTAAAAAATTAATTTATATTTTACCAGCGAAATTCGCGATTGTCTAGATCTGTTTGGTGCGCCAATGGCTGTAAAAACGTACTCAAGCTAAATATGCAATGACATCGTTCAATTCCAAATGGAAATACGAAAAATTAGCCGTCGTGGTCCACGTTCAGTAGACGACGCGGAATTTGGTCATTTCACGTTGTTATTTTGCAGAGGACGGCAAAGAAATGTACAAAGATTTATAACGTACGTGCACAGCTATTGTTTTGCTCATTCAACCTTTTGTTTGGTGACGTTCTCGTTGCCGTCGTCGTCGTGGTTTGCTTAAGCCCCCTAATGGCTAAACCATGTCGTACGAGGAAATGCATTGCCCGCGGAGTTATTTCGTATGCAAATTTCCAGATAGTGGTTATGGCTCTTAAACACGACCTCTAAAACAAGCCCCTCAACAAATTTCAGCGAACAAGAAAAACTTTTATCGGCCGAATTGGGTAGAGACTTTCCAGAAGTGGAAAGCAAAGACTACGACAGTAAAACCGCGTCGGCAAAAAAGGCAAAGGCATGTAAGGACATTTTAACTAAATTTAACTCCCAAAATCCTAACGGTATCAAACGTGATCTCAGTCAGCTTCAAGGATGCTGGAGGCGGCTGAAACTCCAATCGAAAGAGCAGCATGACTTACATCGTCGTGAAGCAAGAAAAACTGGTGGAGGAAAAGCTCCTGCCTCCCCAAGTGAAGTAAGCAAATTAGTAGCGGACGTAATCCCAGCCTCAGTTAATCCTCTAGAGCAGGAATGTGATGATGATGCAGGAGAAGAACTAGTTGATTTAAGGCGGGACAAAGACGAGAGGGAAGTTGTTAAATGCGAATTGGAGCCAAACCTTGAAGCTAGCGGAAAAAGTCACGAAACAGGAGGATAGTCAGAAGTACAGTAATTTTCAATCGCTGCTAGAAATTGTTTTTTAGAATCGCCAATAACCCTCTGGAAAGTTCCTGTCGCATAGAATCTTAGAGCAATTAGCACTTGCTGCATTGGTGTAAGCGACAGACCTCTCCTTGTTTGATGTTGAAGATCTTTATCCAAAAGTTTTACGAGGTCACTGACGTGACCTGACGATTCCTTTCTAAGGCGAAAACGCAATCGGAAGTCTCCTTGGTTCGTATTCCTCGAATGGGTTAAATCTCTCACTAGGCTGCGAAATTATTCAAACATGTATATTACGTCGATTGGCGTAGTTTCTTAGCTGTCTGTAGCGCAGAGGTCCCTCCATTTTAAAATGGCTGACCATGAAGATATCGTTAAATAGCGTTTAAACCTACCTTTGATCAGGTCTAACTTACTTTTGTTCCTTAGTCGGTGTTTAGACACTGTCTAAACACTGTTATGGAAAAACAAAGTTTAAATAATCGGAACTCATGGTTTAAACATGGCTTAGACGATGACTTTCATAAACGTTGTCTAAACTTCGTTTAAATAATCGGCCCATAGTGTTAATCTTCAACCAAGAGTTTAAGATAATGAGGAAAGGCTGGGAGTACTGAAGGGTCGAACTAAATGGGGACGGGGTCACAAAGTACAAACTTGATTGAGCAATAGTCACAAGACCATCACAAGACAATCTTTTGACTTCGATAACAATAGCGAATTCATTGGTAATAGTCACGAGTTTCACTGGAAAATAACTTAGCCTCGCTTTCAGCGATCGGTATAAGACGTGGCATGTGTCTCGATTTCGTCCTCTTTGTCTCCAGACCTGGTTCTATTCTCCGTTATTCAGTTGAGTACATCATCAGACATAAAGGAAATGTATATCGCCCAAAGATTCATGAGAACATTGCAACATATATCGTATATGCTGGTATAAAATGAGAACTTATTTTGTTTACAAATTTGCATTATTAGTACATGCTTTAATTGCACCGTAATCTAGAAAAAATAACAATAAACAACCAATACAGAACGTTTCTTTGCTTTTGTTTTGACATTAGATTTAGTTTTCCCATATGGAACAACCAGAAAGTTACAGCGGATTGCCGTCACTGTTGTATAAATACGCTTTCTTTTACCATTCTTTTAACCCCAACAGTATGTTCGGGATTTCGCCATACGGTGTATTTTTTGTTTGTTTTCGAAAGCTGGCAAATTCAAAATTTGCAACTAAAACTACGAAAAGGAAACGTGTAAATACTCTCATTCTTCGCAAAGAAACTACCTAAAAGACTGATATTTTACAGAGCTTACTAACAACAAGGACGAGGATGACGAATATTTATCAAGCGAATTTTATTATCCTGAAGATCTGGAAACGTCTGATGTAGACAGGCGTCAGCGAAAGTCAGGAGGCCATAGACCGATTTTTATATGAACAAACGGAAAAGTGCAAACACAAATAAGAAGACGGCTACCGATATGAACACTCTTCTCCGCTAACGACGTGAAAGCTAACGGTATGGCAAATGAAAGAATTGAAAGCCTACCTGCTTTGGAGTTTGACCACCTTTTGTCCAAATTTTTTCTGAACCCACGCAGGAAAAATGGAGCTCGAGAAGAGTACGAGCTAGCAACAATTTCCAGTTTCCATTGCACTATAAAGCGAAACTTAAGGACGTTGGCGCCCAAAATGTTCCCACATACAGATTTTTTTTTACACTTGCCACGCAGAAAGGTAAAAAAAAGGGGGGGTCACCGATTTCGTTTTGCAGAAGACATGCCTGGAAGAACACCCTAAATCTAAAAAAATCGGGCTTTGTTAGCGAATAAGGCCACAGTGTTTGTAAGCCCAATAATATTGCAATTAGATCATTGTAGTGAAATGTTCTCTGCCAAATATTGTTTAAGTGGGCCTTTTAAGTAAATCTAGTCAACTGGTGAGGTTCATTAAAGAACAAAGTCCGCATTTAGCGACCATACTTTCACGTGCCTGGCAGCCGCAAGATGGCAGGCCTAGGATTCGATGTCCCGTGGACAGAAATCTTGAATTTTTTTTAACTTCCCACATTGATTTTTTGCTCATTTTTGGACAATGTGGAGATAATTGTAAATAAAATCTGTTTCTGGACAGAAAAGTAGGGGTCACCGAACGTCCAAGATCGTTAAATCCAGGCAAAGCAGTAGCAATGGCCATCTGCCCTATCATTGTTCATTTTATTACTTAGCGCACGCGCTCATGCATGACGTGGCGTGTGAATTTGCGTGCGCAGTAAGGATGCGCAGAAACAATGAGCGCGAACCGATCGCAACATGTCAACGTAACATATCGCAACATTGTTGGGCGCAACATGTTGCGTGCGTCTGGCCACCGTGTTGCGATATGTTGCGACATGATGTTGGGTGTTGCTGGCTCAAACTGTCAAGCCCCGGTTAAACGATTTCAACATTTCAAGGCAACATATCGCAACATTGTTGGCCCAACATGTTGCGCGCGTTTGGCCACCCTGTTGCGACGTGTTGCGACATGTTGGGTGTTGTTGGCTCAAATTTGAAAATGGTCAAATCTTTCATGCGACATTTGTGGATGTTGCATGATGTTGTACTCGTTTGGCCGGGTTCGTGCAACAATGTTGCGCCCGAGCATGCGCACTAGTTCGATTTTCAATACTCAACATGTCGCAATACGTCGCAACAGGGTGGCCAAACGCACGCAACATGTTGCGCCCAACAATGTTTCGATATGTTGTGCTGAAATGTTGCGATCGTTTGGTCGGAGCTTGCAAATGTTGGGCCAACAATGTTGGGATATGTTGTGTTTATATGTCGCAATCGTTTGGCCTGGGCTTCAAATTTGAGCCAACAACACCCAACATGTCGCAACACATCGCAACACGGTGGCCAAACGCACGCAACATGTTGCGCCCAACAATATTGCGATATGTTGCGTTGACATGTTGCGATCGTTTGGCCGGGGCTTAACTCAGAAAGAATGTCCATTCAACATACTCAAGGACAATGATTTTGAAAACTCGAGAAACGTACTAGCTGCGAAGCGTAAGTCTCTGGTTCACGAGCACGGCAAACGAACTGAACAAACCGCAAGCCGATAAGACGACTGACGAAAACGAAGAAGATGCTCTTTTTGAAGCGGGAGAATTCGGCGTGTTTGCACTTTTCTGTTTCTTTATAAAATCGTTTTGAAGTCTTGTTTATGTTCAACATGATTTACATTCAATAAATTTGTTTTCAAACTCGTGGTAGCTTGTTCTTTCTGAGTTCTCGCGTCATCAAAAATACGTTACGGCGGAAGCCCTTTGAGTTGATGTGACCGGAAGTGCGTTCAAACAAAAACAAACGAGCATGGCCCGCATGGCCCAAGGGCCAAACACCGAATTCATAAACGGCGGACGCGCGCGAAAAAACTGGTACCTAGACATGAAAACTAGCTGTTTTAGGATAAACAACTTTCGTTTTACAAGCTTTTCACTAGGAAATTTGCAAGTTTCTTAGCTTAGAAGCTCTTTTTAGCCAAACGGGTCCTTTAGATCGTTTTTCGTGATCAATTTCGAAATAAGTGAACTCAATATGAGTTGTAAGTCAAATATCTATTGTTGTGCGCCCGATTGTACACAGAGGGGAACTGTTGATCCGGAAGGGAATCGAGCTGGAGTTTTTGGTTTCCCGAAGGACCAAAATCTTCGACAAGAATGGTTAGTGAAACTACGGCGAGATGTTGGCCCGTAGTTCAAACTCATAGAGGCCACAAAGGTATGCTCTTTGCATTTTCACCCAGGTGATGTGAAGAAAGGAATTGGGGGCAAAAAATGGCTTTATGTAAAGGAGATCAACTACTACAGGCTGAGGCCGAAATAGTAAGGCTTAATGAACAAACCAGACTTCTAAAGGTAAATTTACAAAAAATTGAACTACAGAATGAATATTTAAAATCTCGCAGGTTCTGTGTGGAAAACATGATATAGGGTGATTCGATTTCATTCTACACTGGTTTTCCAAGCATGGAGACTTTCCAGGAAACCCAAACATACTTTTAAAAATCCAGGTAAACATTTAAACCAGAAGACGAATCTTTTTTGGTTATGTGTCGTCTGCGACAAG